AGTGCTTGTGTCTTGTCCGTGCACAATATGTCAAAACAACCTCTACATTAGGAATAGGTACAGCAGATTCCACCCGTATCATTTGTACATTGGCACACCTTGGCTGGACTCGGGAAAGTCATCACCATTCCACACGGAGCCCTCCATCATTCCTCACAGGATTAGAGGAAGAAAAAAAGTGAGAGAAAAGGAGTTCAAGAAAGGAATTGCTCTTTGTTGCTGGCACAGTTGTTACTATAATTTGGCTGAAATAATAGAAGTTGTAAAATTGCTACCAGTGTCCCCCTCTGTCTTTATCCATCTCTGTCTAAGTTCATTTCAAACCAGATGTACATTTGAAGAGGCACAAAGCACGCTAGTGAAGCAGTTTTTGAAAAGTTCAGAATCGGCCCATGGGAAGCATGCACGGTGTCTGACTCGCAGATGCACACTGCCTCTTCATGGGAGTTTAATGAGTTTGATACATGAGATTTTCTTTCATCAACAGTCAACTCCACCTAGTGGTGTTTGTACTGAACAGATTTCTGGCTGCAGCAAGGAATAATCTGTAACGAGTGAAAGGTTACACCGTTGGTTGTTTATCTGCACAGTCACTTTAGCCTGAAACTGCTGGAGAAGGGAGAATCAATACTAAGGTTTTGGATATAATTCTCGTAAAAGCAACAAACAGTGCAGATAATGTTGCCTTTGAGATCTGGCTCAGTGCCTTTGTGGAATAGGCTGTCCATTGCTAGAGAGCAGTGGTAGACTGTGTTAGTAGGTCTCCGCAGCACCTCTTGGCCTGGCATCTGTGAGGCTTGCTCACACTTGCTTTCACCCAGCATGTGTTTGCTCATATGAAGGAAATTATGTAATTAGCCTTTGAGGGATTGTTTTCTTTCACTCTTTTCCCCCTTCTCTCCCGCTCTCCGTCCTTCTTTCCCTCCCTCTTCTTTTCTGCACTCACTCTCTCTCTCTCTCTTTCTAGTCTTATGACAGCAGGAGATGGCTAATCTGAGCCACACCCTAGCTCACCTCCTTCATTAATTGCCAGGGACCATCAGTGGAAGAAAATGAGCGCTTGCCACACAGATCTTAACTGAAGAGGTGCTTTGTTTAACATCAAAGGGGGAGTTTTTGAGATTTGTATGAGGGAGTGGAGATGGAAGATTAGGGCGTGCAGGGGGTTGTGTCAGGCTGCGTTGTGTGCTGGGAGATGGGTGCAGGGGTACACACGGGCAGCGTCGGGGGGAGGAAAACCTGGCATTTTGCTCTCTAATTCCAGCCGGCCTGGAGGCCTGGAGCGCTAAGAAGGGCCTCACTGTTGCTCTCTGGATCAGCCAGGTATTGCTTACATAAAAAGCAAGTGAAAACAGCTGTAGGGATAATTAGCTTGATTCTCCATTACATGCCATGAGGGCCAATAACTAAAAAATGGAGTTTTGTTTGGGTTAGAGCTGCAGTCCCAACCAGGAGGAAGTTGTAAAAGTCAGGCAGGAAAAAAAGAAAAAGAGGGGAAAAGGGAGAAATTAAGGGAAGAAAGGGCAAGCTCTTGAAGCAATTGTTACCAAGGAGATGTTCTCTCTTCTTGGGGTAGGTTGATGTGGGCCAGATTTGTAAAGAGTTCTAAAGAGCTGTGGTTTCAAAATAACTGGATGGGCATGTGAACACAGATTTTCTTTGTAATCCATTTATTATGTTATCTCAGTTTTTAGCCTGTGGGAATGTGCCACCTCGGATGAATTAAGTGGAGCTGGACCACAATCCAAGTGTTCTTTTTTGTATTACATTTTCTATAATAGATTACCTTACACACTGTCTTTCAAATTAGCAAAAAATAGGCTGTCATTTATTTGTTGAATCGTGATTACACCATGGACTATGCATTCAATAAATCAGACATATGATAAGAACAGTGATTTGTTTTGTCATTGTTTTCATTGGAAAGCATTTTGCCAAATCTGCTTCTCTTCTGACCTTCTTTCCAGAGGTTAAATAGACCATCCTATCAGAAACTTGATATTTCTGTGTTCCCATACTAGACATGTGACCACAGAGGATCTCAACAAAAAGAAAAAATGCATGAATATGTATACAGAACAGATGTTAGCTCTCTTACTCAGTATTTAACTCCAATGTCTGCCCCTTCATGCGCTTGTTTTACGTCTCTAGTCTTGTTAGGGTGCTGGAGGGGGGGGGCATCTTTGTACTGGTAATTGAATTTGGTGTGTTTCTTTTTTTTCTGTTGAAGTGAAAGGATACCAACCACAGTGTAATTCCAAGTGAAGGAGCAGCACTTTAACATTGGTGGTCCAAAAACTCTGCAAGGATCCATTTAACAGGCAGTTTATATTAGTAGCACTTAAAGACAAGAAGGGATTCAGCCGCTCACATCCAGACTCTCAGGGTTGACACCCAATCCCTGAAGACAAAGATAGTCAGTTGTACAGAAACGCAATTTAAATTTTGGGAAAAATACAGGTAGATTAACAAAACAGACACCTTACTGCCTTTTTTTGGATTTCCTTTCCACTTACTTGGCTTTGGCCTGGTATGTTGTGAATGTAGACACACAATACTCACAAAATGAACATTGTTTAATTTACACAGGGGTACCAGGAAGTAGAAATTGGTTTTCCCCTCAACCAAGCCTCTGCTGCAGAGGGCAATGCAAATGTTGATAAGTCAATCATTGTCCTTCTCCAGACACAGGCTAAACAAGTATTTATATGAGAAAGTGTTCACCCTGTCTGATCCCACTATCAACCACGCTGAGAGAGGGGAGTGGGGAGGAGGTAGAAGGCAACGCAGGGAGTAGAAGATAGGAATTGCTGATTGGAGTAGCAGGCAGATGAAGGCTGAGTGCTACAAGAGGGAGTGTGAAATTATGTTTTGCTATTTTATAACGTATGCATTGGTATGGTAGCAATTTTGAATTCAAAAGGACAGTTCACCCAATTGTGATCTGAAACCAACCCCCAAAGAGACTTCTATTTACTTTCATATTTGTGTAAATAAAGCCATTACCAATTGTGCTTTCCCCCACACGAAGGGACTCAATATCAAAATGAGAGGGTTTCATTGATCTGTTGGATAATTGTCAAGTGTACAATGTCATAGTTTTATCGGTAGCCATTTCTAAGGACTCAGGTCACGTTCTAAATATTACAGAGCAATTTATCACATTCCTTCCCTTTCATTCCTCATGCAGCCAAACTGCTGCACGTGAGTGTCTGTTTAATAAATTAAACCTCTATGTGTCAAATGTGCATTCAGCTGTTTTCAATCATACTCAACTTATTTTATAATTTAGTCGGACAAGTATACAGTGACAAGAGCTACCTTGCACAATTTAGGATCATCATTTTAAAATAGCGAGGGGGCATCTTGTTCTCTTTGTGCATGAAGTGTCTTGTATCTGAATTTTTTTGCTGACTATAGAAGCTGATGATGCAGAAAACTGTGGACATCGACCTTTGGGCTGAAAAGGCTTTAAGCTGCCTGTCGGAGCCATTTGAGCTCACTTAATTATCCAGAGCGTGGTTTTTGCTTTCCAGGCTGATATATTATGCTTTGCTTTGTCACATGTTTCTTAAGCGGGCATAATCATGATTACAATTTCAGAACTTACACTCAGGAACATAAAATTCCATATCATTTTAACACTCTGTCAAAACATGCTGACATGTTAAATAATCATTGGCTGATAAGCATACACACATTCATGACCACATATAGCAACACACACTTCCTCATTAACAACATGGACACAGGCGTCACATGTGAGTTTGTGTAGTGAATGCGTCTGTTGTGTGGAAGTAGTGAGGTGTTGACAGAGAAGAAAGAGGAGCGGTCTTCAAACACATCCACAGGCAGGTCGTGCTCTCCATTATGCCCTGCCGGGGGCCATATTTGTTGATTCTCTGGCCCCCAAATCATTAATTTAAGTGCAGGCGACGGCAATGAAACCTGAGAATGGCGACCAACACACATGCACAAATTCACACAATCAAGCATGTACATGCGCAGACACACATTTGATCACACTTACACGCAATCAGGTTTATGTGTACACACACACACACACACACACACACACACACACACACACACACACACACACACACACACACACACCCCTTGTTGCATAACAAATGATGGCACTTTAATTGCTGTGCATGTTTATTTACTCCTGGCTGTAATGGATGGTCCTTCTATGCCTTGCAGCCAATCTGAGAGAGACAGGAAGAGTGTGAGCTGTTCTGCTCACTGTTTTGAACACATTCCATACATTTGGCATTCCTCTATACACAAAACACTAACCTAAGATGCTACCATTCCATACCTGTAATCCTTTTATATTCAAGATGTTGGGGGTCATTGCTCAGGTCAAATCTTCTCTAACACAACATTTTCCCAAACTTTACCTGGGAACACTTTTAGTCCAAGACAAACAAAGTTTGTATTAAAGTTCTATCAACATGCTCTCCCTGAGTGACTGATGATAACGTCTTCAGTGATTGGTAGTTATTTTGGGGCCTGTTTGCTCAGCCAATGAGGCGCCCCCAGCGAGCTAGACATACATCATTGTTTCTTTTTTTTCCACAACTTAACCCTTAGGAAAGAAGTGAGTTGTTGCTGACTGCTGTGAGGGCTGAATAACAGACACATTCCAATAGCTTTTTATTTTGTATTAATGAGTACTTGATGTCTGGGCTGGTGCCAACTGCATTTAGCATTCTTAAGGACCTCTGGAGGTTCGCCAAACAGTTGGAGGAAGAAAATGGTCAAAGCTAAAAAGAAAACTAAATACTATGGATTCAAGTATTTTGAGATCTTTTGTCCATTACTACACAAATGAACTGTATAATGTAACCTTTTTGGAGAACATTTAAAACACAACCTTAAGTTCCTGGCTTGATGATGCATCTTCATATCCCTGTGTGAAATAAAGCATTCGGTTTTCATACTTTGTGGTTGACTTCTCCTCCTGATTTTTTTTTTCATGTTTCTTTCCACAGCTGTTTGTAGGTGTAGGCCAGGTACCAAGATGTTCAAGAGCTTCAACTGCAAGGAACACTGAACCAGCCCATACCTCCCCCCCCCACCATCATGTGAGCAGACCTGTATATGAACACATACCCCAGGATACAAGATTTTAATATATTATGGGAAAGCTCATTGTTCAGCCGGTCAGATATTCTCACATCTTACCGATGAATGTCACCTCTGCTGATAAATGCAATGGCCCACAGAGGGTGGGAGAATGCCGCCCACAGGACCATCAGTCATCAGCGTGGAGCTTCAAGGTATTGGCAAGCGGCCTTTATTTCCCTAGCTGTTTTCAATAGACTGCGAGCTGGATTCATTTTACAGTATTGCGGGTGCTACAGAGTTCTGGCTTAACATCAACCAGCAATCACTCCACCACTGTTGACTACTGGTGCGGCTGAGCTCAGACAGTGGAACTAGTTGTAAACCAATGCCAATCCTGGACTGGTTTGTGATGGCATGAATTTGTTTACTCCGGCAGTTAAATAGCAGACTTTTGTAAATATGACAACATGGACCTCAAAATCCACAGAGACCTTCTCAATGTACAGTGCCAAAGGAGACAACCCTGTCTGCTGAAACAAATGACTGAAATGACTGCATCTGACTCTTTCCGACTACCCAGTAAACCGCCCTATAGTTACTAGTTTCTTTGACTATTCCCCACTTCCTGCCGAGAGATCAACAAAGAAAGGTACTTTTGGGATTAAAGATGCACGACAAAAACTGTTCAAGCATCAGCTTACATCTTCGACACACGACTGACCTTAAATCGGTGAGCATGGTCTTCTTGTGAATTTCTCCTTGTGTTCTTTGAACCTGCATTGCGTTTGTAAACCAATATCCCGTCATCTTAGCTTTTCTACATCTGAAACATTTTTGAGTGCCACTTTTCTTTTTTAATTTTAAAAACTGTGGGTGACTTATTATGCTGATGAGTGGTTTATTATTTTGTGGTCTTTTTCTTGATCCTGTGAATCTGAGTAGCAAATCTGTTTATAATTAAGTGACTTGCATTTTAAAGCACTGTGTCATTACCTTTTTCACTGTACTGGAGGTTAAAGATAATGTACAGTGTTGTGTTTTGATTCAACAGTAACAGCGTTTCCATTTCGCCCTTACCTTATGTACAGTTTTTGTACACTGCGTGTGCATGTGTGTGTGTGTGGTTTCATGCTGCGCTCATGATTGTTACAACTGTGAGGATTTGGGGGGTAACAGTATTCACCCTTGACTTGTTCCACAGTGGCTTGCAGTGGTCAGCTTGTTTTTGTTGTTGGAATAAAAGTTGTTTTCATAAGAATGACACCATGTGTTTAATCTGCAAGACCATAATGTGAACATTGACATTGACAGTGTTATAGGTAAATCTGAGTGCAACAGTGGGTATTTTCACAAGGTGCAGTTTCACCGCCACTAATGGCAACTACAACAATAGACTCTTGCACTGCCCAAAAAAGAATTCTCCCCAGTTTTCATGGTCTACCAATTCTCTCTCTCTCTTTCTCTCTGTCTCTCTCTCTCATAAACTCAGCCAGATGTTGCCCAGTTTGCTTCCTAGGGGAACGTGGGGGGTGGAGAAGGGGTTGTGAGGCATGGTGAGGGATCAGAAATGTGGCTGAGCATGTTTTAAGTGCTCTTTGACGCAGTCGCAGCCTCCAGCATCCACCACGGTAACATTAGCTGGGAACAGAACTCTTGCAAAATTTGCAGGCACTTCATACTTAATTTTTCCACAGGTATTCACAGTTATAATAAGAGTAACATTCCTAAAGGAGAAAAAAATGTGACAAAATGACGACTCTCCAAAAATCATTATTATAATAAACCTTTTTGGGGGCCAGAATCAGTTTTAATCACTGATGTTTTTCATTATTACAGACTTATTTGAGGAGCAGAAAATTATGTTTTTTATGTACATTTGTGTGTATGCATATATACATTTATATTCTCCCTTCATTTTAATAAGGTTTGAGGGGCTCATATGGATTTTAAGTTAGACCCACAGTGGCCCTATAAGATTGACTACACTTGACTGAGATAAGATAAGTATCAAGAAATTGTCTGAATGGATTTATTTTCCCCTCTCTTTCTCTTTCCTGAATCACCTGAGGCAAACCCTTATTTGGGCATTAGGTCAATATTCACCCCCTTAAATTAATTTAAGCACTGTTTTACTTATTTCCCTGACTGTTATTATATTTATATTTCCCCAATCCAGATGAAATTATGTCCAACGCAATAGAAAATAACACGGCTTTCACCCTTGAATGCCTTCAGTGTGGAGGATAGAAACACACAGTGACACACCTGAAACTATTAAACAGTTTGCCCTCTGACACTCATCGGGTTCATTGACAAATATCGAACTGTAAGCTCACGGATTCCTGCTGCATGTTTTGAGATAATGTACCATAAAATAATAATTACCGTAATGACTGTAATGCTCAGAGGCCTTCAGGTGATGAGAGCAGCCTGTATAAGCACACGATATGGACCTGCTTGTCTTGATTGTACCGAGTGGTAACTCGAGCTGCTGCCAGTGAAAATCCTAACTCTGCTCTGGTATGGATAGGGTAATAGCCTCGGGTGCTTTATAAGTTTATTTTAGGTAATAGAGACGCTTGTTTTGTTACAGCCTGTTCCGCCCTTCTCTTTCTTTCTTTCTCTCTCCCTCTCGCTCCTCTCCCTCCACGATTGTACCTACATTCAAAATCCTTGCTTCAGAAAGTTGGTGACTGGAGGAAGTAGAAAGGGGTTTGAGGAGAAATGTGAGGCGCATGCGCCATCTGAAGGTTTTGGGCTGCGCATCCATGCTGCAGTGTGCTAGTTTGTGAGAGGAGGCGACTGAAGCAGGTGAGAGAGGAAAGCGGAGTGGAAGCGATAGTCGTTGAAACTTCCCTGCACTGCAACACACACAGACGGTGTGGAAGGACGACAGACTCTGAGCCTCAGCAAAGCCGCTGTTCACACGCTGTGCTCTTTTCCTCCCCCTGGTACCGTGCGCGCTCGCCAAGCCACACTGTTTGGAGATAGTCCGCGCGGAAAGTTTTTTGGAGCATACAGTCTGGAGCCGATTAATTGTGGCATCTGTTTCTTTTTTTTGTTGCGAGGCGGATGACTTACTTTTTTGCATGTGAAGACTTTTAAATCGAGCTGAGGAATTGTCCAAGTCGTTTTCTGCTCAGAATGGAAGGTAAATTGACAAGTCGTTTGTGGCGAGGATCACCGTGTGGATCGTTCCGCAGGTAAAACGCGCTATGACCTGAGCGTGTGTGCGGCTGGATTTAATGTTCACAGCAACATTTTTCATTTTTATTTGACATACTCTCGATATAATCGGGGACAGTTTTAACCCGGCTAGAGACAATCCAATAGGCCGCTTATTGTTTAGTATCGACAAAGTAGCCTACCTCCGAAGTTTCCGCAAGTGGCACTTCGGGTTTGCCGTAGATAGTTGTTTTTGTTTATAATTACTGCAACATCACGCACCGATTCGTTAAAGGAACTGATCATTTCCTTACACTGTCTTTGCACATTTTATATATCCCGCTGCTTCCTACAAACCCTGTAAACTGTTTGGCGCACGGAGCGCATTCACTGACTGTTGGGCGTCCGTGTTCACCAAAACACCAAACCTGAAGAACTCTTTTTGCTTTAGCGTTCCTCTTTCTTCACCCCAGCCAAGCGAGCTCTTCACACGAAATCCGGATAAAACGAGGAGACGTGTCTTCATTGCAGCGGAAAAGGACATCTTAAATCCACCTGGCCTGCTCTGGGATTATTGGTGTGATATCGTCGGCAGAAATTGGATTTACAACTTCTAACGGACTGTGCTCCCTGGTGAGTAGCCTCACATTTTCCTGCAGCCATCGTTTATGTTAAAAAGTTGGGAATACGTGTGTCTGTGGGAGCTTGTTAAACTAATACTCGTTCTTGGATGGATATGTTAATGACAGATGTGATGTGTTAAACATGCATTTCCCTCACTGCATTGACTGAGGGCCATGCCAGGGTCCAGCTGGGCAATACATTAATTCAGGAGAATACATATTCACATCATTTTTATTTGTAATCCAACAAATAGTCTCCTTTCTATGTCCATTGTTAACGGAGCCCATTTAAAGTCTGACAATGTTCTTTGAGTTGCTTCTGCTCATCAAATCTTTGTACCTGGCTCCCTCTTCTGGTTTTTTAAACAACAAGACAGGCAAGAAAAGAGACTGATCATTGTTTCGCTATTAAATTAAGACAATGTTTCCCTCCAGTAGGTTAAGGTGTAATGCAGTTTGGAAAATGCTCATCTGTTAGGCTTTAAAATGCTTTATTAATTTTCTTTCCTACACACAAAACCCACAAAAAACTCATTCACTAATTCATTGTCACAATGCATATTATAAAAATGCGTAGAGATGCAGGCCATACTTTAATATTTGCTTAAAAATGCAAGTAATTCATTACAAGGTTTCGTTATTTCCCACTCAAAGCATTAATGCCTTTTCTGCTGCTAAGAATTATACTATATTTACTAATAATTATATTTTTCACACTGTCAGAGTTCAACAAAACTAAGAAAAGACACGCTCCCAAAATTCAACAGAGGGGAAAATAATTAAAGAACAATTTTCTCATTTAAAAAAACATGCTCTCCTCTTCCTTAAAAAATCTGCTATAATGTTAATCGATTGGGTCCCTTATGGCCTTACAAAAAGCCTCCTAAATGATCCATTACAACGTCAGAGCCCGATGCTTCATCATTACGACGGTTTTCTAAATTCTGTCTGCCGGATGTCTCCAATTTGATGCCACTTTTAGCGAAAGAAAGAGCGAGGTTGTTGTCAATTATCCAGTCAATTCCTAATTAATTTTTTACTCGGTTCAAAACGTTTCCAGGGGTCACGGATCGCAGGAATTAGACTTACGCTTTTTGCTGTGTTACCTAATACACAATATATTTACGTTTTGAAACAAAAATATATATGATATCTATAGCTTTGAACATGTATAAATGCAATCAAGCAATAATACGAAATCTGTTTTTTTTAAATAATGTTTTTTCTTTGTCTGTTTAATCGAACAATTATGTTACTCTGATCTGATTGGCTGAATCTTAGTCGTTAAATATGAGATAATTGCAAGCACCTGTGGCAATTTAAATTCTTATATGCAGAATGAAACCGCTCTCACTCAATCTGTTGCGTTATTCTTTGGTGTAGAATTAATATTTAATTATAGAAGTTCACTTTCTCTACATTTTAATATATTTGTAAATCTCCTTTCCTCTCAGATAATAAGGACAATTAGTTTAAAATCATAGTTAAACTGCCGCTCTCTGAGGATTATTACTTTATGTGTATTGCAGAACTGCCAAAAGGCAGAACATAACTTCGCCGTCTATTACTGAAGCAGCGCACAGGCTCATGCGTGTATGTGTGTGTGCGCGCGCGCTGGTTGAGTGATGGTGAACTTGGCCTCGTCTTTAATGAGTATTAGGCAGGCCCAGGTCTCCACGACTCAACCCTGGAAAATAACACAGCGTGACAAATTAGACCTGCTTTGGGTCCCAAAATTCACACACGGCCGAACTGGAAGGCTGGCACATCAGTTTCACTTGCAAATGTAGGGCTAATTATTTTTAATTCATTTTCTGCCCACATAGCAGCCAAACTATATCACCAAAGCCACGCAGAGACCTGCACATAATAGCCTTTTTCCCCCTTTTTTTTTTAATTTCTTGTAGTTATAGGGAAACGTCTGCACAGTATAGCCTGGTGCAGGCCATCTCCGTTGACGTGGCTCCTTTAAGTCCGAACCACAGTCAATTAATACATCTAAAACGTAATTTAAATTCAATTATAGACTGACACCACCGTTGTTTGTCAAATAACTATTAAAAAACCTATGCATCAGAAGAAAGCAATAAAATCAAATGCTTTTAGGGGTTATGGTTTCTTTTTAATTCCCAAGTTTTGTATACATTTTCTTAAGTCCTACCATGCTCTGAATTAACGAATTTGCTAAACAATTTCATTAGTATTTCCCAAGGAACTTCCATATTATCATAATAGAACTAAATTAAGCGCTCTAAACCTGAATAATTACAGTCAGGCATAGATGAAAAGGAACCAGAATGTTATAGTTTTTTTTTTTTATGTAAACATTTCAGAATTACAATTAGAAGAGGTTAGAATGGAAACAATTTAGTTTTGACCCTTATGAACGGTAAATATGTAGACTACAAATAGATATTTCGATTCTGTGTGTCTCTTTGTATGTGTTTTTCTCAGAGAAAAGTGAATT